ATTAAATTAATGTTAAAAAACTAGCGTCTAGAACTTTAAAATATTTTTCAGGATTACTCAATATTCTAAACTCATTTTTAGTTCATATAATAAGATGAAATAATTTTATTTAATAACACTTAATATTCTTAAGTAATTTCTTGTACATATAACATTCTAAAGTATTTTTTAATAGTACTTAGTGTTCTCATTTTTTGTGGATCCACTGTATAGTTCTCCAATTAAGGGAAAAAAGCTAATTGCATAGTTCTCATTTTAATTTTAGTTTCAAATATTAAATTAAATAAATGCATAATTTTTTTTTGGTGAAGATAAATACATAATTTTTTTAAAGTACATATATCTTCCTATTAGTAATAATCTTATTTAAAGTATACATATTTATTTAATGAATTTAATTAAGGAACGTATTGGCCTCTTCTTAAGCCTTGGCTAGCCTATCAAGACTGACCTAAGAACGTCTAATATTGGCAAAATATGCGGAGATTTTTTTCTTTTCTCAAATACTACTATATTTCTATGAATTAATTCACATTTGCAATGTAGTGACACTGAACTATATATCCGGTCCAAATTAAAAAAAAGAAGAAGGAAAAAACTGTTTGCACCACAATTTCTATTTGCGTGATGCTGAACCTCAAGCCTTGGGTTGGCCAAAAAAAAAAAACACTGAAGGCCTTCGAAAAGGTATAATTAAAATTAATTGTATCCATGTTGGAAAGTGAAAAGAACAAGAGTACTCAAAGCCGCTCACTTCATGAACCATCAATGTATATAACTCCAAAGGTGGAAGTGACAAAGATAATTACATGGTCACCCAAAATTGTGGGAAGTTGGCCAATAATGGTTGTCTATGAATGGAGAAGGCAATAATTCACAAGGAAATTTCATATCCCTCCATCTATTAATTGGCATTGTATTTTTGCTTTTTAATCAATACATATAATTCCCTTTTTATTTACCTGAGAAAATCCTTAAAAAATAACTGTTGAATTTCAAAAATCCAAATTAGTAATAGTTACTAAACTACTAAAGAAAATGGCTACACTCGAAAAGCAAATAACAACTGTCACATTCCTAATGTTGGGCTTAGAAGTACCAAAGTTAGCTTGAAATGGGCAGGTTACCATACCCTTTTTGGTAGAAAATCCTAGAAATTCCCTAGAAGGACAGTAGGATTCCCATAGACTAAATCGCAAAAGGAAAGTTTTCTGAGATTGAGAAAAGAGGAAGTTAGAGACTCAGAAGAAGTCTTAGGGCCGATGAATGAGAAATAGAAATGATGTAGGCCAATAGTTATGTTGGAGGTCTCAAAATGAGGTGAATTTCAGGTTAAGCCAAACCATGGGCAAAATTATAATTTTACAAAGTTTCGGGCTGGTAAGAGTAAAAATGAAAATTATGCATAAAAATCCCTAAAAATGGGAAATGGTAGGTTAAGGCCTGAATGCTTTAGAAAAATTTCAGAAAAATAGGAATAAGGTTCAAAGGCCTGTATGAGGCTAAAAAATGAAGAAAATGCCCCTGGAAGGAATTTGTGAGATCCCCAAGGTTTTGACTAATTTGGAATATTATTGAAAATGAATTATTTAAAGTATAGGGAGGCCTTAGATAATTAGAAGAAAATGGGAAAAAATACTTGAGGAATTATCACAAGATTTAAAAATAATTTCGTCCCCAGAAAACGAAGAGGCTGGCTTTAATGGAATTTAAAACTTATTTATATACTATTTGGAGAAAGTCAAAGTCAAAGGTCTAGATGTTAACTTTGGACTTAAGGAAAATTAGAAGAATTCCCTGTGATAAATAAATATTATTGATATCCAAAGATAGATTCTCTGAGTTGTGGATCGATAGAAAGAATTTAGTCAAGATCACTCTGAAATAAATATTATTAATTATTTTAACTATTTTAATGGAAGAACAAGGGAAGAGCATCACTTTCTCTTTAGGCATGTTATATAATGCCATGTGGATTTATTTGAGGTTAGAAAATGATACCATAACATGTCCTAGTGCTCCTAGGAAAGTTAGGACTCCAAAAAGTATCCTATACAGTACAGAATGGTAAGATAGGTAAAAGAATGCCTAAGGGTTGTATTTTGCACAAATTTTATGTTAATTTACTCCCTATTTTAATGCTAAAATGATGAAGGAATATGGAAGAGACAAGTGTACAGTTAGATGGGGAAAGAAAGTATTACGTGCATGGTTAGATGCAAGACACGTATACGGTCGGATGCAAGACACGTGTACAGTTGGATTAAAGATATGTGGCTTGATGATGTAAGCATGATGTCATAAGACACTTATCACCATAAGATTAAAAGAGAAAATGGACGGCCCAAATCAAACCACATATTTTTAAGATCAACGGCCTAGATTCAGTCTTGTTTTTTATAAATAACCCCTCCCCTCCCTCATTTTCGTCCAACCTAGAGGAAACCTTGGGGAAAATCTTGCAAAATAGATTCTAGAGGGAGAAAGAAGAGGGAGAGAGAAAGGCTAAGCGGTCATATGCAAGACCAAGCTCCCAAACAAGGTATGTCCATGGTTTTTAATGTAGTTTTCACTACCCTTGTTGTTGTTGAGCTTGGTTATGGATTTTAATGATTTTTCGGAGCTTGAAACTCTGAGGAGACATGCTGCACGAAATTCTTAAGAATAAGGGGAGATGAAATTGATGTTAGAATAATGTTTAAAGGCTTGAAAGGAACAAGACTCAAGTGGTTTTATATTGAAATTAGTTGAATTTCATGACTATGTAACTTGAGTTATATTTCAGTCAAGACTGGTTCTTAAAGAAGGAGTTTGGTTTTGATTATTTTGAGCTTGGAAATGGATTCTATATGCAAAATTGTGTGGGAATAGTATGTGGAATTAATTTTAGAAAGGTTGGAAATCAAGCTCAAAAGTTAGAAGCTAATATAGCTCAAAGAAAACAAAATGTTGATATTGTTGGTTACCATGGCTCTAATGAATGAATGGAAATGATATGTTGATGCATTTAGGATCATGCGACATTGAGGAAGATGAAGAGCAAGCAACCTTAATGGTTGGTAGCAAAAGGAAGCAAGAGGAAGTAAGGAGAAAGTTTAAAGACACAAGGTAGCAAACTTGACCTTATTCTTATGTGTTTGGTATGTACTTCCATGTGTGACATGTTCCTATGTTATATGATTTTATGAACTCATATGTTGTGATTGTGAATGTGTTTGAAATATGCCATAGGCCTATGTGTTTGATGATAAATACATGATGATTGCCAAACATGTCATTATGTTATAAAGATATTAAGTTGCAAGCATGTTATAAATGCCAAGCTTGCCATGTATGTTTGAATATTTATTGTTTGCTACTAAGATTCTCCTGAATCTCACCCCTCCCTAACCAATCATTTAGGTCAAGTATGATGGACAATGATTGTATGGAGGAGAGCATGAGAAGGAAGGAGAAGAAAGTGAAGAATTATTCATGCTAATAAATAAAGCTATTGGTTAATGTATGATTCTCTTATTGTGTAAATTTATATAAGAATGCCAATGATACGATGTATTGGTTTAGAACATTTATGGCATGACTGGAAATGTATAAGAATGAATGGGAAAGAGAGAACTCAAGTTATGCATGCCAAAGTAATAAAAAGAATCAAAGCAAGAACTTTCCAATGGAAAAAAAAAACATAGGTTCTAGAGCAGTCAGCTTCCAGCTCCAATTTGACCTACCAAATGTATGGGCTAAGCCATGAAATTTGGTATTGTTAAAGTACACATTCTGAGCTTTAAAATAAGTGATAGATCACCTAAAATGGATGTGTGTGCCAAGAGTTATGCTTGGTCAAAGTTAGGACAGAGAAACTAGAACGTACAGTTTTGACTAAATAAACAGTAAAATTTAATGAATAAACTGTATGAATTGGACAAAGATAAGTCTAGTTTTATATTTTTCTCCTATAGAGAATTAAAAGAGCTTTGAGTAGAATTTTGGAGTACCACAATATGATTTTTATAGAATTAGTTATGATTTTTAAAATTTGAACCAAAAATCTGAAAGTTAACTGGTGAACAGTAACCCAAGGACCAATTGTAAATTTCCAATCTATGGGCTTATTTCATGATCCACTTGAATCATAACGCTTCCAAACGCGTACTCTGAGGGGTTAAAGGAATAATGTTTCAACAACATATTTTTGTAATAATTCTTGATTTGGAATTTTGAAATTAAACAATAATTTTTTTCTGAAATTTTCCCTATTTTCTTTTACTACTTTTGTTTTTATTTACTTTCATCATGGAAAAATTTATGGTAGATGGCTGTAAAGTAGGTACTCAAAATCGCTTGAAATTATATCCTTTTGATAGCCAATAAAAATACCACCACAAAAAGATAACAGTCTTTCACGGTTATAACATAATAATTAAACCTAGAAGATCTTTTAATATGTTTTTGTGCTATTGATTTAAAATATCTTTATTTATTGCTTGATAATATTTTAAAAATACAACGGATTTATAATCACTGCGTAATTTATGCATATAATAAGAAAAATGGATATAAATTTATGTATTGAAAAAGGTATTTTATATGCTTGGATCCTAATATAAGATATAAATAACTAATTTGTGGCGTAATCAAATTAATTAATTAAGTTGGCATTTTATTTGTAGCAAGTGTTTGTTGGCTTATGTAAACTACCCTGTTTAATTATATGAATAGAACTGACTAAATCCAATCTCGTGCTTACTCTTGTATTAAAAATTAGAAAAAAAAAATGGAGGTAATATTTAATATAGGCTGTAATTATGGGTAAATTTTTTCCTTTGAGTGTGTGTTAAGGATTATCTGATCTCTTGACTAATAGCAAAGAATTTGTCTCATTCAAGGCATAAACATAGACTTTGTCACTCATAACAAAATCTTTTTCATACACGGTTCAGAATAAAACACTTGACAAGTTTATTATTTAAATATTTTCGTTCATATCATGACTCAGTATAAAATATTAAATATCTGCCAACATTTTCAATAGCATTGTCTATATATGATGCGTGACAAAGTACTCAAATCAAAACACACACACACACATATAAAATATTACATATCTCTTTGACGTGAGCAAGAAACCTAATGCATGGCAGCCAGCCCCCTAAATTATTGCAAGACCTTGTTACGATAAGCCAGATACATAATTATAGCTCACATATTATTATTATTATTACTATTACTATTATTTTAACATTTACGCCATCCATTCTAGCTAGCTAGCTAGTTACTGTTCATCGTCCCAGAGATCATCAAGAAGAGGCTTGGTTGGTCCTTTGATGAGTCGTTCTTGATTGATTTCACTTAGTTTCTTGTAATCGTCTTCTGTCAGTGACCAGTCAAAGATCTGCAAGTTTTGTTTCATCCTCTCTTTGTCATAGCTCTTCACCACAAAGCTCACTCCTTGCTCATATATCCATCTAAGACAAACCTGGAAAAAAAAAACGGAAAATATAAATAAGCACATGTTTATTTATACTCCTTAATCATTTTGGTAATAAATTACGATCATCCCCAACATTGCAGCCCGTCAAAAGTAGCATTCAGTTTTGGTGCTCATAACTGGACTGTCTAATCTAAATAGCTTAGACTGATATTTTGTTTTTAAATAATTGTTTTAATAGGTATAGAATCTAAAATACAAATAATCTTTTAACTGTTTCTTTTCAAAAAAGAAAAATTTTAGTATTTAAAAATTATTAGTTAAAAATTTTAAATCTGAACCGTTGAAATTATATTTGTTTAGAATTCATCTTACTCTGGCTATGAGCACCATAGTGTTCATCAATGTGATGAACACCGAAACCAAAACTAGGTCCAAGAAGGATTAAGGTAACTAACCTGAGCAATAGTCTTGCCGTAAGCATCAGCAATCTCTTTGACGACGTCGTTGTCAAGAACTATGTTATTTCCTCTACTGACTCCTTTCCTCAGAGGAGAGAATGCAGTTAAAACAATCCCATTTGCCTTGCAGAACTCTCTGAGCTTCTTTTGTTGCCAAGCAAGGTTCATCTCAACCTGATAATAAAATCAAATTAAACCCTTGTAGCTAGTTGAACTTGAAGGTGCCAACAAAAGGGCAAAAAGTAAAGAAACACGTGAGGTAGCCTTGTTGAAAACGATAAAATGGGATTTAAATTTATTACCTGATTGACTGCTGGAGGAATGGTAGCAAAAGAGAGCAAGTTCTGAAGCTTCTTGCTAGAGAAGTTGCTAACTCCTATGGCTTTGGTAAGGCCAAGTCTCTGGCATTCTTCCATGGCTGCCCACACACCTTTCATGTCAAAGGGAACCAGTTCTGATTGTTCAATGGGATATGTAACCTTCCCAGGTTTCGCACTTATGGGCCAGTGGATCAGAAACAAGTCTAAGTATTCCAGTTGAATTGTTCTGCATAATTCATAAGTAACAGATATAACTAACGATATAATAACCAGCAACAAGCAAGAAATAATAATAACTGGGTTTAGTCTGGGTCAAAAGCAAAAAGGAAAGAATTTTGAGACCTTAGTGATTTTTGGAGAGCAGGAACAAGAAGATGAGGGTGATTATCAGTGACCCAGAGCTTGGAAGTGATGAAGAGTTCATCTCTGGACTTAAAGAGTCCAAGTTGAAGTGCTTCCTTTATTGCTTCCCCAACAGATTGTTCCACTCCGTATGCTGCTGCGGCATCAAAATGCCTGTATCCTTGCCTGATGGCCTCAACCACTGCATCTTTCGTGCTTACCTTGCTTGCGGCTTCCGGAGCGGTGCCGAGTCCGATTACCGGCATCATCCGTTGGCCGGAAGAGGATCGGAGAACGAGCTCAGGGATTGCTGGAGCAGACATGTTTTAGCTATAGGTGTAGAAACGAAAGTGTGCTTATGAGTAATGAGATTTTGTTGCTGATGCGAAGAAAGCGTGGCCTCATGGGACCTTTTATAGAGCCATTTGGGTGATAAAAGAATAAAAATTGTAGCTTTAATCCGTGAAGCTTTTCTCAATCTTCATTTAAATCTTTACAGTTTTAAAAATTTGTAATTACTAATTAGGCCATTCCAGTTTAATTTTAATAAGTTTTAAGTAAGTACTTGACATTTCCTTTTTTATAAATACATGTGTGCAGTGTGTGCGCGCCAGATGATTAATGCTATTTAATTATCTTTATCTTATATATTGCTGTTATACACTTATACTATCTAATTACCTTATTAAAACATCTACAGTTTTAAAGTGAGATAATTAATTACTTTTAAAAAATTAATTTAATATTCACAAAATTTTAATAATATACCACTCTAGTCCTATGGGTAAGTCATTTGTGGGAAAAAAGTTTAGTTCTAAATACAGGTTACTTGTAAGGTAATTAATGACATTTTTTTTCAATTTTATCCTATTGAATATAATAAGAGAAATAAGTGAGAAAAACTGTACATAATATTTTCTTAATATTCTTTCTTCAATAAGGGCAAGTCTGAAAATTTTATCAACTTAATTAATATGAAAACGAGATACAAGTAATCCAGATATAAGACAGTGGCATAATGGGTTTTGATGCCACTTTTAAAACCGAATGATTTTATACGGACCAACAATATAACATTTCAAAATGTTTTATGCGGAAGGGCAGCGCAGTCCTCTTTGACTGAAAAACAAAACAAAACAAAACAAAAGGTCCGCCTTAAAATGTCACAAGACAGAAAGAAAAAGATATTTGCTTAAAAAAGCAACGACTCTTCTGATGACCAGTCAAAATTTTTTTTGGTTGAGTCAAATTAAGACAATAAATTTATTGGCAAAAGGAAAATTAAGAACACTATACTTATTTTTTATTCCTTTTAGAAATCAGCAGCCTGCCATATTAGATTGGACTTTACCCCACAGCCAAAAAGAAAAACAAATAAATTAAGGTTTTTCCATCAAATATAATTATTATTCATGGGCTATTTCGTGTTGCATTAACTAAGAAGAGTCACCAAAAACGTGTCGTTTTTCAATTTGTCACTATTTTGTTAAAACGACACAGTTATGGCGTGAAGTTTCACAAAGTTAATATGTGACTCATCCTCATTAGTAAAGTTAGTCAATCATCCGATAACCTTGTCTTATTGTTTAATTTCTTTAATAAATTCAAGTCTTGATAAAGTGTCATTGGTGATTTGATTTATTTATTATGGTGGGTTAGGCTTTTGACTCAAAAAAAAAAAAAAATAAGGGGGAGGTAGGCGTAATTTTTGTATTTTTGCTTTTGTATATGTTTAATGGTACTAATGAATGCATTCCATTAGTTACATTCATATATAAAATTGGCCTTGATATTAAAAAATAATTAGAATGAAATGTGGGTCACTAATAAATTATGTTGAAATTACTATTATTTTCATGAAGAACTTGGTTTATCTTATGCACTCTCATCAATATGCCATACTCTTCAATTTTTTTCATTTAACACATTTTAGATGAAGAAAACACGAGCAGATGGTTCTGATGGTTAAATATGATCAACCTTTTACGCAATGAAATAAATTTTTTATTGATTTTTCTCCAAATTTATGATGAATACAATGTCTTCGGAAAAAAAAATGCTTTTAATTAAACTCAACAATAATCTTACCTAATAAAACTTAACATTTTATAATTATGTGTGCATATAATGAAATGCAGTTTTTCTGGGAAAAAAAGAAAGATATGTAGTGTAGTTCTTGAAGTTATGACTAGTTTCAATTTTATATTACAAAAGTCTTTCAAGAACTAATTTCCAAGTATTTGGAATCACCTTTTGGAAATTTTGATTCGAGCACATAATTTGCGTCAATGCTTGTATAAATAATATTACTTTTTATAAATATTATATATATATATATATATATATATAGATTAGCATCATAATAAGGCGGACTTTTTAGAGATTATTCATATATATATATATATATATATATATGTATAAATATATGGATGTTGGTAATTGTGTATGATAAAGATAATGACTAATGAGGCATCTCAAGAAGTAGGTGAGGATACGGGGTAGGTGTCTATACTTTTTAAATTATATTGAGTGACCATATTAATTTGTTCTAGAAGAAATATTTTGCCAAATGAAGGTCATGCTTTGCTTTTACGGATAAAAGATTAAAAGATCATGTTTTTCTTTGATTCAGCTGATAGAGGAACGTGGTTTGACTAAACAAGCTTCATTCTTCATCGGATTGTGGCAAAACAAATGAATTATTAATTTATATATTTGTTAAATTCATGGCGTCGGAATGAATTTTTGAAATTTGCACAGATAACGTTATTTGCATTAATTAGGGGTACTATGTATAATAAATTTTTAAAAAGCTAAGATAACTGTCTCACCTAAAATGAAATTAAAGAATTTCATATAGAAAAACTAATTTCTTGGTCACGTTACAATAGAAATAAAGTATCACTAAAAAAATGAATTTTGGTGACAACTTTAATAGGCGACAACGGAAATCGTCATTGAAAGTCTAATTGTTAGCAACGACTACGTAAAGTCATCATTGAAAGTTAGAGTTTTAGCAGTGATGGAGTTGCTACTGAAAGTTAAACTTTTAACATTCAAAGGCCACTTGTTTTGTTGACGCTAATTAGTATCATGATAGTCACTGTGGCCCCTAAAAATCTAATTTTTTGTAGTGTACGAATACCAGCAAAGATTGATCTCATTGGTAATAATTTGAAGTTGAAGGCATGCTTTGTTCTTATTGAATCTTGGGGGTGCAACTTACCCCAAATTTTTAGTGGACATAAAATAATGTATCAATGACAAAAACAAAAGTTGGTCCGGTTGGCAAAGAGTTGGCTCATATCCACAAGGTCATGAGTTCGAATTTCGCTATCGACGTGAGAACCTTATTGGTGGATGATCTATAAGTATCTTTGTAAATGCTTTTTGAGCTTAGAGGCATGTCCTGACCTTAATGAGTTCTCGAGACCTAACTTACCTAAACTTGTTATTCATCAAAAAAAAAATTGAAGAACTTCTCTCCTCCAAATCTCAAGTGGGGAAATTTTATCTTCTCAAGACTTAACATATATATAAGGAATTTGCGTAAAGTTCAATATTTGTTATATTTAGAATTAAAATTTTAAAATTAGGGTTTAGGGTTCCAATAATCCCTTTGGGTACGTTAGTAATGACATTAGATTGCTTATCCATAGCAGAGGAAGTAGTGATAAATCATACTTATAGGGTGATCTTGATTTTGCTGATTATTTAGCCAAGTCCTCTTATTGTATGAAGGCTAACTTTTGTGTTCTTGCTACATCTGTTGGCCAAAAGGTGAATACTGGAACACAACGCTTTACATCTGTTAGCCAAAAGGTGCATATTGATGAGGGAAGCTAGGCACCGACTGTTTGTGCAAGGTCTTCTCAAATTCGTTATTGAAACACAGAGCTTTCAAAAAGGAAATTAGAATTTTGTGGATGGCCAAGAACAAATATTTTTAGTTTTGAGAGGAGTATATTTATAACAAAAATTTCGATTCAAAATAAATAATATAATGTCTAAAAATTAAGAGAATTCAAAGTTTCAAACTCCCATGAAATCTCAAGATTTGATTCTCCCTGACATCATCCTCATATAAATTGATTGCAATTTTTGGAATTTGTGCAAATTATTGGAGATGGGCGGCTAGAATTTCTCAATTTTCTTTTTGGCCGCATTTCAAAGCGTAAGATCATCATCAAGTGTTAAAATTCACAATTAACATTCTAATTAAGCTGATCAAATTTGAATTTAAGTTTGCTTGACCAGATACTATATACGTGGAAATATATAGACTTTTCCCTTTGCGTTTCATTTCTTTATTCTCAGCCATTCATTTCAATTGTTGACCAGTTAACCTGTCCTCATCACATGCCTAAGCAGGAGTGAGATAGTAGCTTTCAACAACTAATTCATATAATACTACCCCCGGAACTTAATATAAAAGTTAGTCGATTAATTTGAGTAGATTAAAAAAAGTTAGTTAAGTGAATTATTTATAATAAATAGGTATTGTCTTTCCTAAACTATCCTTGTTAATCATATGTGTCAACTATAACTACTATTTGATGAAACATTTAATATGTATAACTACTACAAGAACTAGCTTGAGAAAAGATGAAAAAATACAAGAGACAATATGGATTGGGATATTATATTTAGGATCAAATTGAATGTCAAATTAGCTATTATATTAAGAAATGAAAGAATTATTAAACAGTCTACTTGATATGTTAAATGTTAGCTTCTTGAAACGTAAAACGTAAATAAACTTGATGAGGTAGTTCAGAGAGAAGAGAAGAAAAAATCATTTCCTAGTTTAATCCTACTTCCTGCTTTTAGTTTAATTTCCCAACAATACACAAGAGACTTATTTAATCTAACACATGCACAATCACAATAGTTAGTTTTTAAAAAGCTCATTTCCAACACGACTTGCTAAGCTAACCTAATTAAAACTCAACCACATATCTTCTCTGGCTTTAAGAATTTTTCCGAAGCCTATGTGCAGCATAACAAGAATCTACCAAGAGGTACCTAGTCGGACGATTACTGGAAATTTAAAAAAGAAACAGATCGAAAAGAAATTTTTCCACTTCAGTTTGGATTTTGAAAATTTCTATCAAAACTAAAGATAACGTTACTAAAAAATTTCTATCAAAACTATCTTTTAGACAGAAGTTGCAACTGGTTTAATAAATACCAGTTTAAAAAGTCTCCACTTTTTACAAGTTATTTGGCCGGAGTGGAAACAAATAACTTTTTAGACTGATTGTATTGCAAACCAATCTAAATTTTGGACTTTTATTGAAAAAAAAGTGTATCTATTAGACCTGCTATATTATTATAGCTAATGTAAGAAGTGAACATTTTTTAGTTATCATGTATACTC